GTTTCAATAAAAAAATCTCAACAAATGAGGGATAAAAGTGCTTAAAAGGAAATAGAGTGAAGGAATATATGATACAAATACAGTGAGGGAACTGGAACCTGTAGCTAACGATTTCATGAACAGTATTGCATACATGCAAGAGCCTGCCGGCTGGTATATGTTACTACGAAACGTGCGAGAGTTATTTCCTCGTGATCCTAGAGAACGCTAAGCATGAAATCGCCAATTTACGCAGGAGTTAAAGATGCGTAAATTTGCGATTTCATGCTGTGGCAAGACTGATTTTCATGCTTCGGTGTTCTATCACGTTCGAATATATCGAAATAAAATATATATATGTTTATATATATAATATACATAAAACATATCTGGTAGAGAGACTCATAGTTTTAGAGGAGAAGCTAAGAATGTGTTAGAATTTTAGAGGAACAAAGGTTCTCGCCATTTTGCGTTTCATGAATACAAAAACGTGACGAGCAGTTCTTCAGGGCAGGCAAAACCAGATATTAACTCACTCTGTTACGCGCGCCAGACTCGCGGGTCAAATATTACACTAACTTATTAGTGAAACCGGAAATAAAAATGGAGAGCGAGCTGTAAACTTGCAAATAATTACCAAGCACCGCCTCAAAATGAAAAAAAATTTACTTATCCGTAGCTGTGTCATTTATTGCTTATTCTTTTAAAAGGTGTGGACGACACAATAATCCTAGATCTGTTGATGAAAATAACTATGGAAATGTTTTTTCTTTTCGCTTTAGGCCTAAACGTCGCTTTCCTTGGTTCTGTCCGAAAACATCTTAGCTTCTCAAACGAAAATATATTTATGTGTGTGTGTGTAATATCCGTTAAGTTATTCATCGATAAAAATGATTAGAAAGATGCCAGATTTTTATATTTTTGAGCAGTTGTAACTCTTTTGAACTGATTCCGTTCTCCTATAGTCCATGCGTGATCATACTGTGACGGAGTGAACTCACCCTCTCCCTCCCCTCCTCATGTTTGCCTTGCACCTAAAGAAGCAAGTCTTGGAAAAAGATGTTATCCGAGCGAGAGACAAAGAAAACTTCTGAATTTTTTAGTATCGATCATTCAACCTTCCTATTTCCCGCTTGGATGCTCAACCACTGATTTACAAAGAACCCAGAGGAGAGCTAAGCCATTAAAAGGTACAGCATATGTATAAAACAAGAACTATCGCCCTTGCCGGCTCGCTTCTTTTGTTCCGCTTATGAACGAAAAGAAAGAAATTCGACCCAAACAAATATCATCATCAATCATCATAAACATCGTAATTGTTAATCAACTCCACTAATCCTATAAAGCATCAAGCTTGAAGGTTACTGGCCGTGTATTTAATAAGTAAAAACTAAGTTAGCGGAAGATATAAAAATGAAACTAATTTTCCGAGTCTAATAAGAGACGCAGAGAATACTTTTAAAATGATGGCAGACTTGGCTTTTTTCTTCTCCATTCAAGGCGTAATGACTTCACATATTTTAAATTTTCAAAGATTTATTTAAGCTGGCCCAATTTGCTAATTTGCATGTTATAACATGCAAATTAATCCTCCACACAAGCAGAAAAACAAATACTTAAAAAAAGAGCTATCATGTTTACGGTAACATCAAGGCAATACCTGCCGAGCAAAGGTATTGTCGAGACATACTCTTTTCATACTCGCGCGTGTTTTTTTTTTTGTTTTGTTTTTTCTTTCTTTTTGTCTCTTTTTCAATGAAATGAAGAATTATGACATATTTCGTGGCGGTATCTTTAAGTTTTTTATATATATCGTAACTGATACGGTCGGACAAGTAGAGGTCTTTTAGTGAGAAGTGATCCTATTCTAACCGTCACGTGATCGTTCGAAAATTTGTTGCGTGTGATTAATTTCTGCTGAGTTTTGAAACCTGTCAAAAGAACGGAACAATTAAACTCTCGATTATTCTAAAGACTGTCACTGATTGTGTGTAAAGCAGAGAATAAACATCACGATTGTTGTAGAGCATTCAACGTACCAACTTTTAGGGATGTTTCAATTACATATCGGAACCAAAAATTGACAGTTTAACTGAATGTTCGGTAAATAAAGAAGCTAATTATGTCTCATTTCCGTGGGTTTTTTTGTGTGAAGTATGTTCAGTCATATGATCTCTTAGTATATGTATATGTCTTTTCGTGTTTTAACATCCTGAATGAAATAACTGAAGTACTCTTAAGATTAGACCTCATCGCGTGTAAAAGGAACGTATGATAAAACCTGAGCGGTTAAGAAATTATTCGACTGAAAACAAAATAAAAATATTGCTAGGTAAGCTTTTGTCAAGCGGTTGTGACCTTGGCTTACTTCAGAGCATAAGAATTTAAAATGAAAATAAAAAATAACGACTCGTCTCGCTAAATCTGAGAATAAAACTAACAGCGAAATAGAACGGTGGATCTCGCCTGGCGGGAAGTCACAAGTTCAAGATAATTTCCATATCAGCCCGATGGCTGTGTTTACTAATGGCTTCGTCATTGTTATCTAATATTGCGCTGCTAACTGGATATCATAACTCAGGAAATTTAGCAAAAATTAGGAACCAGCCACGAATCATCATTTAGCCAACATTTCTGATTGATAACGCTCAGAAACCATAGATTTCCATGCTCAGTAAATGTAAATGCGACGTTTTCGTCTACATATAGGCGGTAACATTCAGCCTGAAATTATCGATAACCTTAAAACGTCATTGTACCAAACTACCCCGAAACATACAGGAAAAAACAACAAACAAAAAATTGTGTACATGAATACCTTCTAAACAGCCTCCTCTTGCAATCTCAGGATTGAATACCGAATGTTTAAAGTTACAGAAGTCTTTTCGACGCCTGATCTGGCCACGCGGTAGGAAGGAAATGCTATCAGCTTAGATCAAGCTATAATAGGGAATTTCGACGGTCACGTGGTTGATCTCAAGTGCCTTCGGCATTGAGCAATTTCCAGTTGTCAAGTAAGCGGTTTCCCAGTGTACTTTGGACATAAGAATCCATTCTTTGGCAAATTTTCAGATTTTGGAGGCCTTTTTTATCTTCTGTTCGAAATGTTGCACTAAAATCCTAACACAAAAAATCTAAAAATTAGCGCTGTTGTCGAAATAATGTTGATAAAAACGGTCTGTATCACTGGCATCGTCCATCTAGGAATTGAACAATCAATTAAAGTCGAACTTATATGAAGCGGTCGGTTGTCGATAGTCTGTTGTCGGATGTCGGTTGTCAATGTACCGACATTTTTTCCCTGATTAAAAAGGAACTCAAACCGCAACCAAGTGGTCAGCATTGACTGAATTCCAATGTTTTTTTTTTTTTTTTTTTTTGTCTCCCAACTGTATTGGAAGGTCAGCTAAAGCAGAACCATTCAAATAAAACTAAGAATAATCCCTCAAGTCAAATTTATTCCATATTTATCTCCTAGAATCGATGTCAGTTCTTTGAGTTCAAATGACCTGTGGTATTGCAGATTATTTTCTTTCTTAAGACTGTTAGGACGAAAAGCGTCTGTTAACGCGTTTGACTCCTTTATTTAGCAGTCAACGTGCATTAAGCGGTCACCCCGCCATTCCCCGTGGGTGACCACTTACAGGTTCGACTGTACTTAAGTTCCTCACAGAAGCAAGTTTTTACTTTTCCTATATTTAAGTAGTTGTTTATTAGTTAGAGAAAGAGAAGTTCCTGTTTCAGCTCCAGAGGAACTCTAAAGGGAAACTAATTCACTTCATCACAGCATGATATTGATATCCATCAATCATCTATACTTAAGGGGTGAGGCAAATTGTTTCGGACTAGGTTATATTCATCGGCTAGCTCCTTCATGTTTTTTCAAATGGTAAACCGATAGATGAGAATTATGATTGTTGCGATCATTTCGGGGCCCAAGACGAACCCGTCAAGAGAAATCATGAAAGCTTTAACCCCTCAACAAACGACTTGGAGGAAAAACTAAAAATATCAAGATCGATGTTTTCTTTCAAAATCTTGAGTTTCCTTTTATCATCATTAATGCTGAGTCAGCAAAGATAGTGGGTATAATCCTTCCACTGTGTCTAAAAGGGGAATATCAATCGACCGCAAACATAAACCAGCGTTTGTTATTGAAACGCATTAGTGCAGGACGTGCGAATGCCACATCTTGTAACTTGAGCTTGTTAACTGTCTTCGGTCAACTTTATAAATAGGAGCGAAAATCCCTTCCATAAATGAAAGCAGTTGTTTCCTTGTTGAATACCTGAAATCTAGACAGGTTTTCCGTCTAGTAAATGCCTAAATGCAGCTCCGAAAGAGCATGATTCAAATTAATGAGATGTCAACAAGTTCTTTGTTCTAAACGCTCTATGTATATCTTATCGACCTAAACCTGTACTCAAACCCATGGAAAATTCAACGGCGGCCGCTGCTCCAAACAATGGCCTTATTCGAAATAAGCAAATATTCTACAAAGTCGCTGTAGCATCAAGGATTGGCGGCAGATGATTTTCTCCTGAACAGGTAACTCTAATCACAAAAACAAAGTTATATAACATCATAAAATTAGACTATACAACAAACAAATGAAACTCTAGCCACCTTAAATTTCTTAGTTCTTTTCTTTTCGTTAAAAGGTTTGACAAAACATGCACCCATTTCAGTCTCAATTTAAAAAAAGAGGAGGGGTCACCCCTCTTCATTTGAGAGGAAAAGCGCCCTGACAACGAGGTTGGCCTCGACACTGTCATCTCCAAACGTTGCTCTAGCAACAAACCTAAACCAAGAAAGCGCCCCATTCTTTGGGCCTTAGTTTCACTATCGGCTACCTGAGCGCAAGTACACGCGTACGTGCGTGCTTTAATATTTCTCATTATTTATAACATTGCTGGAGGAAAAACGATAAAACGTAAAATGAGAAATTTAGCTCTACTAGTAAAAGGGCTATTATCTCAAGTCATTAACTCTTCTTGTTTTTCTAAACTAATTATTTCAAATAAAACAACAATAGCAGACAGTAGATTCTTGTGGTAGAGGCGGCTAAGTAGGATGGATTTGAAAACCTGCACATGCCCTAAGAAAAATCTTAGTTCCGTTTATCAGGAGATAACTCGCATCGTCATAGTAGGCAAACAAAACTTTCACGTCTACAAGATCTACAATGTACCACGAGAAGGAAATAAAATCCTCTTCAGTTTCTGGGCTGCATCTTCGCGTCCTATATTCATGAGGGTCTGGTACAACTTCAGAACTGTAGCATCTCCACGATGGGACCAATCCTGAAGCAGCATTTGGGTGCTGTTCATTGGACACAATTTGAAATTTGTTACATGGGTGAGGGTGTAGCCAAGCTTACCGGCCAGAATTTTCCAACTTTTAAATGAAGAAGGATTTAGTAAAAAACCAAGTTCTTCAAAAACGTCTGCGCTAACGTCTCTCAACATGATTTCTTCAGACCCTGAGTAGAAAAGCGGAACATTTCAGTCACGTGATGAAAAGTTCTGTATGCGTGAAAACGATTTGTGTGACATTTATGAATAATTGAATATACTTTGAATATGTCTCAATGTTTGGGGTCATTTTGTGTGACGAGCAAAATTACCTCAACTCGAGGACTTTGAAATATTTGTTTTGTAAAGTAGAAAAATAAGAAAGGAGCACATAAGAACAAAGGCAAAACAACAAAGATTAAGGGTGGACAAGATTAAAACAGATAGCAACTGATGACAAGTTTAACCAAGAGAATGCATGAGTATAGCACTATTCGAAATTTTTTATCTCAGTCTAGTGGCGCTGTGAAGCAGCTCACTAAAGTTGCTCATATGTTGATTGAAAAAAGATCAGTATTCAGAGTACTGACTCTTTGTTTACACTCCTAACTTTATAGCTATAGTGGGGTGCTATACATGTATAGACATCCACTTTAGGGAGTCAAATTTCTGAAAACACGATTGAAGGTCCCGTCTACTTTTTACGTGAAGCGTGGTTGGGCGTTTTTTTTTTACTCGTGAATCGTGACTTTATTTCTTTATGTGCGAATCGTGATTAGAGACGATAAGATCTTTTCATGTCCACGTGAGCGAATTTTTATATTCAAACGTGACCCGTAAATTTAAAGCTGAATTAAGTTGCTTCGCGTACTAGTTGTTTTGCGTGATGAATATTCAGCTATTTATGTCTAGAAAATGTACATTGTTCTCGAACGGCTGTGGTTTGGTTTTCAGACTATGGTTTTGACAAGAGATGGACTTCAGATGCATCAATAAAAGTCATAAAACAGATCCCTAATAAGGAAATAACATGACTTTTTGAGGGAATATTGTTTATTTGCGCCCGCGTAGTGTCATGTCAAGTCATGTCATTATCATTATTATCAATAAACAAGGCCAAATGATATCAAGAATGCGAGTTTTAATAATACAAGCTAAGTGAATGACGAATTCAAAGTCACTTCAAATCATCATGTAAGTGTTGATTCAACAAGCTATTAAAGAATCAACTCAGTCCAGTGAACTTATTGAAAATTACCGAGAATAATCAAGAATGCGAGTTTTAATAATACAAGCAAAGTGAATGACGAATTCAAAGTCACTTCAAATCATCATGTAAGTGTTGATTGAACAAGCTGTTAAAGAATCAACTCAGTCCAGTGAACTTATTGAAAATTACCGAAAAAATGCTTAAAATCGTCTATAAATAATAGGCATATCACAAAGTTAACCTTAAAAATGTCCATGCTGGTAACAGAATCATCACAAAGTTAACGGAAACTCAGTTCTAATCACTGTTACTTTCGATAATTATCCGACGGCGCTTTCCGATTTAACTTCAGCGTAGAATTACACAATTGTTACACAATTGAAGTCAACTTTCAGCTTTCGTTTGTCGCACCATTTCTCGAATTTTTTGATCCCCCACGAAGTGGCTCTCTTTGTATTTTCCGCCTGACCTTTTGCTTCTAATTTGTCCAAATCTTCTAGCCCCAAATCTGAGTTTTGACTGCTAATTTCTTCCATTACTTCAGTTTTCGCTCGAAGACGATTCGACGACTGAAAAAACTGCAGTTCAAAACCGGAGTTTCGCAAATGAATGCAAATAAGATAAGACGTTATAAGACGTTACGTCATCTCTCGTCGTGAAAGATTGGTCGCGACAAGATAAAAGTAAAATATTAGTTCAGTGTGATCGTCTTGAATTTTGCGTGACGTGAAATAGTTTTAGATATTATTCGTGATGCGTGACAAGGCCAAATATTTTTACGTGAGTGGGTTTTACAAAAGGGTATTGGGAACCCTCACCACTATCATTTCCAAATGAAACTTGCATTCTCCACATTTTTCATGTATCCCTGAAAAACACTACAAAATTTGCGACCCTGGACGGTCTAAGGTACTCACAGGATCGCAACCAAAGAGAAAGTGTCAGGTGGACAAAAGAGACATTGTCTTAACATCGTCATGACTCTGAATCAAAACAATATCTTGTCACGCATCAGTTCAATTTTTAAAAATAAAAACACAGGCTGCCATTATTGAATTTTTATCACATATCAGATTTATAATTCAAACTCACCACTTGAAGCAAGAGCTGTGGGATCATTTTTGTCGCCAGCTACATTCGCGGTTGGCTCGGCAGCGTCGGGAACATCTTCCATGTCATCATCAACTTGAAACTTAATGGAACCACTCGCGCCACAATCAAAGCTGCGCCTGCTCTTGAACTCCTTTAGTTTCTCCACTAAATCGTAGCGACCTATTTGCGTAAGAAGATCCTCCAACAAATTTAGATTGTCTTTTCTTATCTCTTGTTTTATCTCTAGGCATTTAAACAAATTCGTGGCGGTGTTTATCTCCTCCAATTCTCTTGTTGTTAATCGATCGAGGCATAAATACTTCAACTTTCGTAGGTTTCCTTCCGTTATTTCTTCACACAAGGAGAAAAGAAATTTTCTGTACTCTGAAACTGAGCTACCTTCCATTTAGGCAGCGAGATCTCAGCTCCCATCTGCTTACATAATGTTTTCAATTTTTCGCTGAATTGCTACACACTTCAGTTCCATCAAGCACATGTCTATGTTGTCAGGGGTTTCCCCTATCCCAAAATGCATTCGGCCGATGTGTGATGGGCTGTATACGTTTTTATACACAAAGCCAACCGATTCTCTCTAATTCTTGGGGCCCGATCTTCTCCGTTTTTCTGAGAGACGTGCTCGATCCTTCCGAGATGAATGGTAGGAGCACGGGCTCATTTAACAAACAGCGGTTGATAAACAGGTCCTAGTATTTGCTTGAAAAAAATTAAACAGGAAAATGCAAAATAAAATTCTAAAGCTTATCATGCTCCAGATCAAGCGGATAATTACAACAAAAGAAGCAAACAATAGATGAACTAAATGTGAAATGGCTCCCTGAAGAAGAATTCAAAGGTGACCAACCCTCCGGAGTTGCTATTGTTAATTACACATACAAAGCAAACCTTGCCTATTTGAAGTTAAAATTCGAAGACGCAACAAAATATCACATCTTATTCCGGGAAAAATATTTATTCGAAAGTGATGAAAAGTAGGTCAAGTAAGCAATCATTGATAGAGCCCCTAATCACGGAAGAGGACGTAGTTCGCTTTTACAATGAATAGTCGAATATTAGATTTGTACCAAATTTGCTGCTCTCTTATTTTCAAATGTCCCTTTTTTAATTTATGCTGTTCACTTCAGTAATATCTAAAGTCGCTCACGAACCAGTGACGCTCAGGAACTGTAATATCATGGAAGACTACCCCGGACGTTGCGTGACATCCTCTGTTCTTTAGCCAATAACGTGGCAACACACTAATGAACTCGTGCTTCGGCAGGGACTGAGTATGATGCAGCCAAGTCGACTCTGATTGCCACTTAAATCAAAATCTCGATGAATTGATTTTTCAAAATTGTAATTAATTTTGACCCCTACTGATTTGTTTTTCTCCCACCTACCCGCTTGGTTTAAACTTTCATAAACAACTTTTTACTAAATACTGCGTCATCGAATGGCCTAGATGACAAGAGGACGCTTGCATGCTGTGATCTGTGATCTGTCTGTTATTTGATCTCCACCCTTGACGTTTGGTTTTCATCGACAGAAACTTCTGCCAGCAGGCTTCAAAAAGTAAGGCGGTCTGCCAGAAACAATTGATTAACTGAAATAGCCTCTGAAGAAAAAGTGTACGGAACACTTCACTGAAGAGGTTTAAAACCTGAATTTTGATGCAAGACGGTCATTCTAGCGACATTTTCTGCACCATCTGTTTACCGTTTACATTCTGCAATTTACTATCAAGTCAGCTGTCTTAGAGGTAAGCATTCCTTACAAAATCATATGCTGGATTGTTTTAGATATATTGTCAATTAATGACGCAAGGAATCATTCCTTAGCATAGAAACTGGTCACATTAGTTCCTACTGCGTAAACAATCAACCAACAGATCTTCAAGCGGAAATCATGCAAGCGAGTAGTGAGCCTGACAAATCGACGTTAAACGCGCGCTTCACAGCAGTCTTTGTACGATACTCGTCGAACGAGAGGGTGCTTTGAGTCTTTGTTCTGCGATTTTAACGTTCATTTTCAATTAACAGTATACTTGGGGTTCTGTGAATATTGCAAACCGTCTCTAAGTGGAACTATAAAATTAACAGATGCATCGGCATTCCAGAATAGTTTATCTGTTTATCGTTCCTGGAGCATTCCAAGCCTTCTTTCCATTAATTTGATTTCAATAGAAACCTGAATCCATCGTAAATCGGCCACAGTACACCTCTGAAATAGCTGGGTAGTTTTGATAAACCGTCTCCTTCTCTTTCCACCCAGTGTTTAATTTTGTTTTATTTTTCAGATCAAGTGCGTGGGTTTACTTCTTCCGTTACGCTCGAGTAACCAAACGGCAGACTGCTATCGAATAGCTTACAGACCTTTTTATTCAAGTTCACGAGAAGATGAGCTCGAAAGAAAAGAAGGACAAGACTCAGAAAGGTGAGCCGATTGTTAATTCTCTTCTCTAGCTGCTACACATTTCCTTGTAAATTAGTTAGGAGGATTTGGCGTCAGACCAAGATATCAACTTCTCTCTGATAAGTTTGGGTATTCTTATCACCCATTTACTGGATAACGTATGGATAATCTAGTAGGAAATTACAGGTTTATCACTTCTGGGAGTTCAAGGGTTAATTAATGATGTAAGTTTACTTAAGATGACAGTTGATCGAGTTTTGTTGGTATAATGGTGATGCGTACAAACTTTCTACGAGTATTTCGAATCGAGCGAAACACGCAAAAGCATGAAAGAACCTTGGCTCTTGGACACCTCTGGAAACAGGGTGACCAAGAAGTATTTTCTCTCTACATTATCCATGATCATTATTTAGCAGACTGATGATGAGATTAAAAGAAAAATATCAACGCCAAACTCACACAATTGGTATTGTAAGATGTGTAAGGTAGACAGTTATGTATAATTAGAGAATCACTACTTACTAAGATCGTGTGAGTTAAATCGGAGAAACTTTCAAAGCCTGGCCATTTGCTCTCTTCAGAGTTTTGAGGACAATTGCTAAAAAATATTAGTAGTCGGCTGGACATTTCGTTCACAAAATTGTAAGTGGACTTTGGCCAGGTACAAAGGTACCGTGCTGCATGAGTCTCCTCAACAAAACGTTTCATTTTCTTTTCTTTACCTTGTTGAGTCACACATGACTATAACTTTTTGAAACAGCACGGCTTTTAGTTATATATTTTAACACTGATTCACGATCGATGTCTTCAAAAGTTAGAATATAGTGCAACTGGCTCAGTTTACTACAATGCTTCAAACTGGGAAAAATATTTTTTTTAAGCAAAGGCAAACGCAAGGTTTCGTGTAGAAGTTTTATTACAACATCTGGATTACAATACGCCACTCACTGATGTCAACAGGATGTACAGTACGAATTAATACTTTGAACAAATCAGAAATAAATTATCTTGCAGCTATCGCTTTTGTTTTGAGATAGAGGGAAGGCTGAAAACGCCGCAGATCAAGTTAGTTAATTATTTATGGTGCGAGCTTCTAAATCTTGTCAGCTAGTGCCGATCACAGCATAAAATTAAAAATTTAAGAATCCATAAAAATGCCGTAAAGTAAGCGTTGAGATCCTCTTTACGCGTCTTTACGAACTTCTTTACACTTTCATAAAGAATGTCTTTACGCATTGAAAACTATAGTGCGTAAAGATCACGGAGAGAGACTATAAAGGCTATTTTTACGTGCCCTGTAAAAAGTCGCGTAGAGAATGTTTACGATATTATACGGCGAATGTAAAGCGATCAGAAAGGCGATCTTTACGCGTCATTACACTATCGTAAATGGAAAGTATTTACATGCCCATTTGCCATTTTGCAGTTGCCTGAATTTTTTGGCATCATTCCCTTTTTGTTAATCAGACTGTAACAAATGTGAGTTCATGACAACGTCAACGTAATGCATTATCTTAGCGCGTATCAACAAAAGTCGTATCGAGAACATTTGCAATATGTATTTAACGCTTCCGTCAAACAATGCTGCACATTCCCTTTCAAGGAGTGACCCATAACAACTCTTGCTTTAATGCATCGCAATTTGTTTCACTGTCATAACTCTTTAACTTAATTATTTAATTTTCACAGTAACGTTGCTAGAGGTTCAAACGATCTTCAGGTGAAAAAACTAGTATTGAATTAAATCCTTTAACATTTACTTGTCGATTCTACATGTGGCATGGTTGGCTACTTAGCATCTCATCATTGATTGTAAATCAGTTTGAATTTATACTTATACTTAGAAACAATAACAACAGGGCTTTTTGCATTTCATTTCAAAAATCGCACCTTTTTCTAGAGCTTTTTTTATTTATCAATCCCTTTGATTTTTGATTATTGACAGGTATCAATAAACTTAGAATTTTACATGTACATGCATAACATACTATAGATTTATATCTACATGTAATGCATTATGTAAATAGAGGAAGTTTTCACCAAACACTCTTATCCTTCATACCATCACTTGATCCATTCACTTTAAAATAATCAGTGTGACTCCTTGTTCATGTTAAAGTGACTACCACAACCAATTTTATGTTCTATAAAAAATCTTTGCCTTCATTCGTGATTTTGTTCACTTATCCATATCCTGTAATATCAATAAGTGATCAGTGACCGATTCATAGTAAAACTATTGTGGCCTATTTCATTTTTTTTTTTATTTTTAATTTTATCAATTACTCATTGATTTTGAAACGAAACTAGTTTATATCATTAATTGCTTCCCAGCTAGTACCCCGACAAAAACCTCTGTCACGTTTATATGTAGCCCTCCCCCTTCTCCTATTGGATTTAACAACTGGGACTACCATTGATATTGCGTGGAAGAGATGGGGTTGGTGGGGGGCAACCCCCGAGGCGCCCCGGGGCACCCATCACTTCACAACCGTAAACAGCAATGGTTTCAGTTGAATGTTATTTTTTTATTGATTGTTTTACATAAAACCTCATATTGCACGACAGCCAACTTCATAACCTGAGGAAACGCTAATACCTCATTCTAGAACATTTTTGCCTTTTCATTTCAAGTCAGATAAATTTGTTACATTTACAGAGTTAGTTTACATCTTCTTTTATTGCAATAAAATGTGTGCTTAGACAACGTGGATTTCATTCGTTATTGGTCATAACGTCTGCTCCTAAGATGATGTGAGGTGTGTTTAAAATGTAATTACATTTGCTAAAGATAAAAAGCCTTTCTATAGCAAACTTATGGCAGCTATTTCACTAGCAGATGAAGCATTGCTCTTGACAAAGGATGAGATTTTTTAATTCAGTACAACTTCAACAGTACTGATTTGTGTATCTAGGAGTGGGTCAGCAGAGACTGCTGAGTAAAGTTTCATCTCCGGAAAAATACAGACGAATACTAGAACCATTGATAGTCGGATCGTAAAGTTTAGAGAGCTTGCTATTACAAACAATACAGCATCACGCTTTCACACGTTATTGCCGGGTCCATTTTATGGAAAAAAAACAATGATTTTCTCTCGTCACGACAACTCCCTGATCATGAGTTTCAAGGCGCGTTGAAAAAAGGTAGTTTTAATATATTTATGCGAACAGAAAGTTTAGAACCGGTGTAAAAGACAGAATACAGAGGCGGAAAGAGGATTAAAAGCACGTTAAGACTGATTGCGCGTAAAGAA